AACAAGTATAAGGTGCTATACCGGCCTCTGTATATTGACAAAATTGATGACGAACAACTGAGTACCAAATATCATATTAAGTTCGGTACAAACAATCTGCTGAGCTCAGCTCACTCCCCTTTGCGGGGTAGTCTATGTTCCGTTATTTAATAGCCCTTTTTTTTTTCAAACGATGTTCTTATTAGTTATTTTATTAAATTATCTCAACGCCCAAAATACTTGCAACAGCCTGAAAAATCGTATATCTCACCAGTAGTGAACGCGCCCAAAATGTAGATAAAATTGTCACCAGGACCTTCATATCAGTACTGGTCCCACTGATCTGACCAAAAGCACCTAGATAGACCTGTAGGGGGACCGGCATTGTCGGCTACATGACCGACAAGTCCGACCTTTTGAACCATCCGACATATACTACTTGACGCGGCAACATTTTCTCAGGGGTGTCTGTCGTTGTCGGATGCCAACCCAGCACTCACACTGGCACTCCAAATTTACTCTTTAGTCTTGTCCTTACTCATCAGACTGCTCTTTTCTGCAATCCTCATGAAGTTGGACAACGGCATTTTCCAGAGTAAATTCCATCGCTACTAACAAGGGGTTTTTTTATTTAATTAATTATAATAAACATTCCATTGGATGACAAACAAAATTGTTGGCATCTTTCCCGACCCTGCTGGCCGCCCCGTGTGTCATCTGACTTTACTAGTACTTTACCGAAATCCATTTTGAGACCCAACGTGTACAAAAAAAAATACTCTCAAGTCTCCACTATCAACTTTCAACTTCTCAAGTCTCGACTCTCGACTGACAACTCTCATGTCTCAATAAGACTCAACTCTTCGAGTAATACTGCGTGACAGGCTCCTTTGCTGACCGCATCCTAACTTGCTCGCAAAGTTCAATTTTAAAGCTACTACTTATTCACTAATCGACGAGCCTGGAAAAGAAGTTCGGAGTATCGTCAAGAAATCTGTATTATACCTAATAACAAGAGACGGAACCACAAGCATACATTTTGTCTAATCTGCTAGTGCGAGTACGCTAGACAAAGCCAGTTCTTGATCGCTTATAAATAACAACCACGTATGTGCCGTTTTCAGCACTATTATTACTATTTCCACTGTTTTTGAATATGTTGAAGGTAGTATTTTTGTGTATATTAATAGCCCTCTGGTCCACCAGTTGTGCGGATAAAGACGCAGATGAGCTAGCTCGATTTCAGAAAAAATACGGATTAAAGAATCAACCAGCGAAGAAAAATACAAAAGCCTTCAAAAGTGGCGAGCAAATAGGTTTGTCTGTTGATATAGAAGGCCTGCAAGTCGATTTCTGGTTAGAACAGCACCCAGTGATCCCGTCAGACGGAGTAACCATACAATACACCTTTGGTTGCATCTCTGAAGTACACGAAGATATTGATTGTAGTGTGACACTCTTTCCGAATGGTGATGTGTTAAGCATGCTTGTGTTCTGGGGAGACCATACTTGGATCTGCGAAGGTGTGGGTGCCGGAGATGGACAGTCCATGTGTTATAAAGCTGCGGATATGGAAGAATCAAACTTTGAAGACCTTATAGTATACCCAGAGCGCATGGAAGGTCGGTCAACACACGTGCGGCGACACGCAAAAGCAGAACCAAGTCTGGAGCACGACCTTCAACTCCCTAAAAATACAGTTGAACATCTAGATGATGGGTCTGACTTCGGGTATTTGACTCACGCGCATACTCCAAGGAGCCGCCGTGCCACCTCTAGAACTGTGCAACTCAGAATGACTTATGACCGGGCTTATCTGGTCGCACTTGCCGAAAGCGAGAATTTAGGAGCATCTCAGGCTACCATTGCACAAGCAGATCAATATACAATGATGCTCGTAAATCACCTCAATACCATCTATGTGCCTCAGGTGGGTATCAATTTTGAATTGTATCCGACCTCCCGTGTGCCCAACACAGGTGCTGTTAACGGTAACTACGGCACTTCCACCGCTTCAGGAACGATTCTGACAAATTTCACCACGGATACGGCAAACAGTAATGACGACCTGAATGTTTTATTCTCAGGGGTAGATCTAGCGGGAAATACGATCGGAGTCGCGTACATAGCGACAGCGTGTAGGAAGTCTTACAACAATGGTCTTTTAACACCGTTGGGCGTGTACGGTGGTATATACTCCCAGGTGTCTGTATTCGCCCATGAAGTAGGACATAATTTTGGATGTGGACATTTTGATGATCCAGCGGATATCATGTACCCAAGTAACAATGGCGCCCGCGAGTTCGGCGCCACTTGTCGTGCGACCGTTGAGCAGCACATTAACAATATCGAGGTAAACGAAAAAAAATGGTATCAGCCTGCTTGTTTCGAGGTACAAACTGACAGCAATCCGTGCTTTGCAGCAGTGGGAGACGGCGGGGTTTGTGGATTTGGGTTGTGCATTGCATCCGATAGCACATACACATGTGACTGTACAGATTCTGACTACACTGGAGATAACTGTGAAGTGCCAATTAACCAGTGTCCCGCTGATGGTGTGGGTCAGTGCCAGAATGGAGGCAAATGTGTCGATTCGTTAAGGACCTACACGTGTGACTGTCAGGCCGGATTCGAGGGCTACGTCTGCCAGTACGAAACATGCGCGGCAAACCCATGCACCTCTGGGAACACGTGTACAGATGTTACAGTGAATGGGCAGATTACGGGTTTTACCTGTACATGTGAAAATGGCGCGACGGGTGACCGCTGTGAAATCATGCCAGAGGTGAACGAATGTGCGAGTAACCCCTGTGGTGTGGGAGGCACGTGTACGGATGACGTGGACTCCTATAGCTGTACATGTGCGACAGGCTACTCTCTGTCAGCGGACAAATCGACGTGCATAGATACAAACGATTGTGCGAGCAATCCATGTACCAGAGGAACGTGCACTGATCAACTCGGTGGATATGTGTGTGATTGTACCAATACTGGTTATACTGGCTTGAATTGTCAGGAAAATATTGACGATTGTGCTACTAATCCCTGTGGAGTGGGTGGCAAGTGTACGGATGGTGTGAATGCGTATAGCTGTTCATGTGCGGCAGGTTATTCTGCGTCAGCGAACAAATCGACGTGTATTGATACAGACGACTGTGCGAACAACCCGTGTAATGCAGGAACATGCACTGACCAACTGGGTGGATATGTGTGCGATTGCTCTAATACTGGATATACAGGCGTGAATTGTCAGGAAGATGTTGACGAGTGCGATCAAGCGCCCTGCGCGAGCGGAACCTGTATCAATCGTCCTGGTACGTTCAGCTGTGTATGTGACGAAGGGTTTGCAGGTGTCTTATGTGACCAGGATGCTGGCGCGTGTGATTCATCTCCCTGCCCAACGGGACAGGCTTGTACCCCAGACTCGTCATCAAGCGGGTACACATGTGGGTGTGCTGATGGCTTTGCTGGCCCAGACTGTGGAACACGTATCGGAACATGTGCAGACGGCGATGCGTGTAAGAATGGCGCCACTTGTACTACTAATGAGGATAGAAGCTATACATGCGCATGCGCCCCGGGTTACACGGGTACGAGATGCGCGGCGGAGATAAATGAATGCATTACTGCGAATACATGTGTTATTGCAAAGACAAAGACCTGTACGGACAAGTTGCTGGGAATAACATGTACATGTAAGCCCGGCTGGGGCGGAGACAATTGTGAAGAATACACATGCGACTGCGGGGATGGAATATGCGAGGAAGATTACTATGAAAATCCGGTCTGTAATTGTCCTCCAGGCTATTCTGGTGTCAAATGTGAAATCGGACCACTGCTGGACAGTACACAAACAAATGCATGCGTCAATGAAGAATGCGCAAATAGGGGCAATTGTGAAAATGTTGAAAAACCAGGGGAAGTGGGTGTCACCACAGCACAATGTAACTGCTTCGGTGGATATGATGGTACTTACTGCGATACTGTGACTTACGACCCATGTGAGGGTAACCCGTGCAGTTTCGGAGGTACATGTAGAGCTTCACGTTTCGGATCTTTTTCATGCACTTGCGTGCCTGGTAGGTTAGGTACTACTTGCGAGATCGATGTCAACGAATGTGCGAGCAATCCCTGTGTAGGTGGAACATGTAGCAATAATCATAACACTTTCCGTTGCACATGCACCACAGGTTGGTATGGCCAAACCTGTTCATCCAGAACACCTGTTTAAACTCATCTAATGAATGTGAATGTTAACCTCTGGCTGACGAAATTTAAATAATAGATTTAGAATTAAGATAGTCATCGGTTTGATATCGATGTAATGTCACTCTAATTAATAAAAATATGAAGGTTGAAACAATGGTTTCTTATTTGTATAAAGATAAATGAGATCTACACACATTACGCAGTATATCATCATACACATGTATTTAGTTCGTACACACATATTTTTATATATAACCAAAACAATTATATATATATATATATCTATAGATACATATATAAATATATATATGTATATAAATATATATATATATATATATAATATATGGTGTGTATATGTATATAGTAAATG